TAATTAATAATTACTAAAATAATTAATAGTTATTTATTAATAAATTTATTTAATATTCGAGTTGAAAAAAATAAAAAATAAAAAGAAAGGAAGGAAAAATATTAATTATAATTAATTAAATTATAATACTAATTAATATTACAATTTAATTTGACAAAAAAATTCTTCTCTTCTTTCTTTTCTTCTTGCTTCTCTTCTTTAGCAGGCCCAACCGATATTATATCCACTTTCCCTACTTTCTTCAGCTTCTTCACCACTGCCACTGTGTCCATCTCCCCTATCACTGTCAGCTTCTGCTCCATTTGATCTGCCGCAATGGAATCAATTCCTGCCAATTCATATAAATTAGTACTCATGAATTAAGAAATACATCTATAAAATATACATAGAAATCCCAGAATAATTTTATAAAACCAGATCGCGCGAGTTCTAAATTCTTTTTTGATGATTAAGTGCACAGGGCATGCATGTACGCACCATAGATATCAGCAGCAGCTTCTATAGCTTTCTGCTTCGTCTTATCATCCGTCATAGTCAAAACCCTCAGCACCACCTCCTGCAATGAATTCCATATACAATACCACAAATGAAAAAGAAAAAGGAAAACAAGACGATTATTTTTTAGGAATATTTATAAAAGATTAAAGCAAAACAAAGGGAAATGAAAGGAGCACCTGAACCATTTTTTCTGAGAGAGGATGAAAATGGTAAGAAAGTTGGAAGGAAAGGAAACGGAGTGAACTTTTATGAGGAGTTGGGGGAGATTTTAAAGGGAAAACGTGAGGCTGTGGGCTCTGGTGATGGCTGATGGGAACCTCAATGTGGGTGATCTATATGGAGTTGTGGCCACACGACCAACTTTTTGCTACTTGACAAAACCTGTTGGCATGGCATTTTCAGCAACTGATCAGAATAATTTCTGAAGGTATTTATCTGTCGAACTTTTAAAACATCAGAAGGAAAAACCAATTAAAACTATGTCAAATGTAAACTCTCATTTAAAAGAACAAAATAATTTATTTTTAAAATAAAAATAAGATTGTTATAAATTTTTTTTGTGACGTATTATTGAAATAATATAATATAATTTAAATTTTTTTAATAATTATTTAAAAGTCCAACTAATAATAAACAATATTTTCATTAAAAAAATAATTAACTTTGTTTTAGTGAATAAAAGGGAGTT